ACAACCTCTAGCTATATGCAGTTTTATCTCCTCTTTCTAACGGTGAAAACCGCAGCTCTCTATCTTGTTTCTATCAAAAGTTATTCGCGATATAAGACTGCCCGGAGACTTATGGACCACCCTGTATATATCCATTCACACCCACATCTCACCCTTCAATCAGTCCCTATACACTTTAACTGTTTTTCGTGTGTTTGATCAATAATAAACTCAAGGTTACTTCCTTTCTGCTTTCTGCAGAACTGGTTTTGTTATCTGCCAAATTTCAGAAGAGATGAGTTAAAACTGAACAACAAGAGTAAAATGAGGCCTGTACGCGGCTGATATTTGTATAACAGAAAAGGGAGCAGGAAAGAATTTTCAAGAAAGTGTATTTCATTTTTTCTCTTTCAAAACTGCTTTGTCTAAATCATTTTTTTAATCAGTCTTGAAAAGAAGAAAAATCGGGACAATTTTCATTTATAATCATAGAAGTTCAGTAGTCTAAATAGCAAATCTCTAAGACTAGTTTCTCTAAAAGTTGTTAGTAGTCTAGACGGTTCCATTAAGATGAGCTTCTTAAGTAGATATCCACTTGCAACTTTAGGATGTAGAAATGCTATTCTAACTTCTTCTCTTTTTTTCTGAATATTTTTCCTTTTAAGAATGACAATCTGTCCTGAATGGTATGGTGTTGGTGAAGCTGTTATTAACTGTGGATTTTGTGGTGCATATGTTTGTGAAGAATGTTATATGCGTCATTTAGCTATGTGTGGTCCAGACGATGAAAAACAGAAAGTAGATGAAACAACAAAAGCTAGTTAAGGTAAGTGTTTTACCTTCAAGCAAAAGAATTGTCAATGCTAAGCTCTTCGATGGAATCACGATTAGTCTCAGACATAAAGTTAATAGGAAGGACCAGGAAAAGAAAGTAGAGTTTGAGTTGGTGACAACCAAAAAAAATGCTTCCTCTCTATCAATGAAATTCGTGCTCATATTAATATCAGAATTGTTGGGAGATCTGTAGAATTTCAGAATTTACCTCACTTATCAAAATTTTACACTAATTGTACTTTTGTCTATATTTTTAGAACTTCTTTGCCGTATGACAGAAAACTATTCAACGTAAAAAGACATTTTATTCAGCTCTCTGTTTTTTTAATCACATACTGTATTAAAATTCTAAATAAAATATTCTTATTCCAGACTTCTTGAAAGCTAAGTTCAAATTTGCTTACCTACGTTCGATGGATCATTGTTTTTAACAATCACCATAGTCAAATCGTCAGTTGGATTTACTTGAATCTTTGTCGACCGATGAAAACGCAGGTGAATGAGCGTTGCACAGAATATCGGAATGAGCAAGAATTTAATAATGAAAAATAACAAAGCGAACACTTTTAAAATGACAATTGTGAAGAGAAGATTGTGAAAAATCACTTGTGTTTGTTGAGCGATCGATTTCCGTAAATTGTTTACATAGAATATATTCCGGTCGATTGTGTGACACTGATATTAGTCTGTATTCGATAAAAGAATATGTATTGATGTTCATTGGTAAAGTGTTCATCTGATGTAATATTCAACGCATATGACCATATGGCACTCAATGTAGATAAATCATTGGCATTTAACGGAGCAGTTTTATTAATGATCTGAGTCAAATCAATGGAAAAGACAGTCGATGGAGCAAGAATTCGATCGAGTGATGGCGAGACAAATGTCGAAGCGAATTCGAAGCTCCATGAGTGTGCAACTTTAGATGAAAAAAAGAACAATCTTTTAATGGTTTTAGTATCTATTATAAAGACAATCATAGTTGTTTCTAACAAAAATTAATTTTTGCTATTGGCCCGATCTGTACAACATTCATAATTGATGAACATAACATGTTCAATAGATCTTTCACCGACCATTGTGTGTTACTGTCGAGGGTCTACTTAGACCGAGTCGAATGGCTCCAATCGTCTTCATTCCTGGCAATATGAGTTGAACACTAATTGTATGTAATGGAAGTAGGACAGACAAGCTTAAAATAGTGTCATTATAAGTTGTTTGACATCGTGCAATAGGTAATCCGATGGACTATATAGCCAATGAGACGTTGTACACAGAGAGAATCTTGACGATTGAATGCCGTTTGCACAAGATTAATATTGAGTATAAATGGTTGAGAGTTAAGTGAATATAGATCATTTGTTTATCTTTTAAAGACTGAATTTTATTTTTATACATGAATTTATTATGATAGTAAATCGTTTCCTTTAAAATTATTTTGATTTCTGTTCCTATCAGAGAGTTGTTGATGGAAATCAAAATTAATAAGATTAAAAATTCAAAATTAAGTAAACAAAAAATTTTATATTATCATAGGCATTCAAATGTTGAGAGGGTGTAGGTGTGGTGTGGGGTGCGAATGAAGTTGTGACTAAGAGAACGAGAACACTCAGAGCCACTCCCACATCTACATTCCCCCTTCTTTTGCTTTTTTTTGTTATTTTAACAAGGAAGCCTTTTTTTCATTGTTTTTCGAAGTTATAATAAACAGTTAGCTGTCCATTTATATTCGAACTCGAATTGGGCAACTCATGAATTTGATCCCACTATTATTTGATATGACATATTTCGTATAATCTATCATCTCACAAACATCACATATCATTTATTTTAAATCACAACTAGCTGTTATTTTCAAATTATACGATTACAATCATAACAAAGTATTATATTATTTGGCAATCATACAATTCTCTTTCTTGTCAGTCGTTTTAATATTTCTCGACGCATTATCTTATGCAAATATTATGGTCTTCATTTTGTAAAATGCTGCTTTTAACGGGCTTTCATTTGATATAAAAATCACTGCTATATCTTTTGGTATTTGAGTTATAATCCTGGGAAAAACATTTTTGGGAACCCTGTAGAATCAAATCGTGACGAATGTGTTAAGACTTAAAGATATGTTTACTAATCTAAAGGATTGAATTTTTGTAGTTAATTGTTTATGATTTGAAAATAAGTTTCTTGATTTCATAGAAGTTAGGTTTTATTCAGAATACATTGTATATTTTTCTTATTTTTACACATAATAATGTTCGTTTCGCATATCATTTTCCCTTATTTTTGTCATTTGAATTTAAATTTACATACTCAAAGTCAAATGATACTCTAACCATATAATAAAAAATACACATGTAAATCCAAATCATTCATTTTTTATGGAATTATAATTTCCATTTTTTTATTATTTTGTCTAGCATGTATTTCGAAAAATTAATTATTTGTAATATCTGATTTAAACTCTTTTAGATCAAGGTTCATTCATTGATCATCTAAGTAAAGACTATGATTTATCAATAAAAATATTGATTACATTATCTAGAAAATTGTCTCTGCCTGATACTTTATGAAAATATTTTCATAATTTTCTCAATACATATTGTATTTTCTTGTATTTAATGTTATGAGAACGTTACTCAGTAGCTAATACTATGATGAAAGTATAGGCCTCAAAATTAACTAATATTCAGACTATTTTGCGTATCTGAAACCTTGTGATTTCTTTCGTTCTCTTGATGAATTTATTAATCATATGAATATATATACCTATCAAAAATAGCAAATATTGTGCTTTTTTTTTCACCTTATATATTCTTTTTTTCGTATTTTGTGCTTAATTACAATCCAATATAATTGACATGGAAGCGAACGAAAAAACAGTACGCGTATAAGGTGAAGGGAGTCTTTTTCTTTTTCTATTACCAGTTGTATAATGTATTTCATCGACACGTTCGTTTTTCGTACGCTGGTTGTTTTTGTCGTATTTCAATTGATAAAAGCTGACGCAAGTAATTATATTCCACTGAACGGTTGTGTATGGTCTGATTGTAATGTGAGCAGTATTATTCCTCCGATTCAAAATTATTCACTTGATTGTTGCAAGTTAGAAGTTCCTCTCAATTATGCCAAACCAAATGGAACGAAAATTATTATTTCAATGGCACGTCTCATTCCTTACAATCGACAACATCCAACAAATAATACTCTTTTTATTCTCACAGGTGGCCCAGGTGAATCTGGTTGGACTTTTATTCTATATGCAGCATATCTTTTTCCACCTAGTGATGGTATTACTATCATATTGCCTGATCACCGTGGTATTGGACTATCGACCTCGTTAAGTTGCGATAATTATGGTTCACAAAATATAGATGTTAATTGTATTTCTTATCTTACTTCAAAATGGAGTATCGAAGGTTTAAATCAGTTTTCTATTACTTCAGCGGCTCATGATTTATCTGTTCAAATTCGATATTATCAATCTATTGTTTCTAGTCGTATTGCTGTATTTGGTATGAGTTATGGAACAATATGGCTTGATCGTTTTCTTCAAATCTATCCCAATTTAGTTCAGGCATCTATTATGGATAGTGCCATTAATCCAATACTTATGTCTTTCAGTCGTTATGATCTTTGGGCATCATTAGTTGCTACAAAAATTTTAGCCTATTGTCAATTACAACCTGAATGTAATCGATATTTTCCAGCTAGTGAACCACCTCAAATAATGTTGTCAAGAATACTTAAGGAATTGGATGAAAATAATCAACGTTGTGTCAATAATTATTTTTCACAATATCAGTTGACTGCCGATAAGCTTCGAAATATCTTTAGCGGTATGATGTACTCGAGCGAGTCATTTTATGATCGTACTGTTATACCAGCTGTTATCTTTCGTCTGAATCGTTGTAATCAAGATGATGTGACGTTATTGAAGTTCTTTTTTCAAACTAAACTTGGAACACAAAATGGTACGGGATCAGAAAACTTAACTATTCCGTCACTGTTGGGTTCAGCAGTACTCGGTTATAATATTGTTCAATCGGAACTTTGGCTAGGTCAAAATGAAGAGGAAGTTGATTTAGAAACAATATTGTCTTGGCATAATTCAACTTTAGTTGGTTCAAAAGATCCGACATTGTATATATCTTTGCGTTCTAAATGGCCCAAATATCCATTGAATGAATATTACCATAAAGTAGCTACCAATTCAACTGTATTGATGTTAGCCGGTCAACTCGATCCAGCAGCACATACGGATTACGCTATTCATCTTGCAGCATTGACAGCTAAAACACGAACATTCTATAGTTTTCCATTGATTGGTCATATTGTTATTCTTGTAGCGCAATTTGGCTATCAATGTCCACTAAAACTTGTCTCTGCATGGGCATTTCCTAATTTATTTCCATCAAATTGGAGTGATCCGAACTGTGTTCAAGAATTTCCTACGACAATAAATTTTGTTGGAGCTGATGAAGGAGGAGAATATGCTTCGATGAAACATTTCAATATATCAAAGCCATTTGATAATCTTAATTCAACCATTGTGCCTAGTTCAACCATTATGCCTAATTCAAGTATTCCTGCAACAAATGGTTATAATCTTTTTATTTACTTTGCGTTAGTTTTTCTAACATTATTTGTCTAGATTGTATGTACTACTGAATAGAAGAGACTCCCACTTTTGAAAAAAACTTGTTCGAATTCAATGATATTTAGGTTGCTGGAAAGAAGTAAATAAAATATATCTATTACGAAATTATCAGTTTGATATGTTTTGTTCAATACACATTATAACAAAAATAGGATTCGCGATCATATCTTCGCAATCGAAAGGTGGGTGTAGGTGTATAGGCTTTCTATCTTCGTAAATAATATGCTAAAAAAGAGAATCAACTATTGGTACAAAAACGGGGAAAATGAGAAAAGAACAGAAATTTAATTGATTTACATAGTAGAATAAGCTTTGTATTTCAGAAATAAGATTGAATGTGTTTGATTATTATAGATGAAATATGATAACATTGAAAAGTAGGGAAGCGAATTGACTATACACGTAATTTGCAACTTCATCTATTATTTTTCAATCGTTTAATTGTCATATACTGAACTGTTTTCTAAATGTTTAAAGACAAATAAATTGTTTCATAGATTTTTGAAAATGTCGTGTATTGTCCTAAATAAAATAATAAATCAAAGTTTGACTTTAAATGAAATTCATATTATTTTATATATAGAATTAGATTAAAAATAAAATGAGTTGCGAAAAAATAACTTTTCTAAAAATATCTATTTGGAATACACTTCAATAATTTGTCAAAATTTACATTTAATTCAATTGGTTCACTGAAGAAATAAATCATCGATAAACCTTGTTTATTTAATAATAATATGACATGATTGTTTGTTTTTTGTTTTCCATTTAAAAAAACGTAAAGATAAAGACAACGAAAGTTTCATTTGAAATTTTAATCTATTTTTGGGAATTCTTATTGTTTCACTATCTATTTTTTCATTAAAGGACGGGGGCGGGTTGATCCACTAATCGGCCCTAAATGCAAATCACACCGCAAACCGCTTCCGCTTTCAAAATTCTGCTTCTCCCATTCATACTATACTAGTCTTGATGCACACAGACGATTTTCCTGAACACTTCATAGCGTATTCAATGAAATAGGCCATTAGCCCCTTCACAGTAATTTTCTCCCACACTTAGGATCATTCGATACCCTCGATGGTCACTTCATTTCAATTTACAAGTACTATTTTTTTCAGCAGGGGTAGAGCTCAGTGAGACCTGCAAAATCATATTAATATATATGGGAAAATATGCTGTGCTCGATTTTTTCCAAAGACCACACCCTCCATATCCTATGTGAAATGAATAGGGTGAGACAGGTCAGTCTATAAGATGTTCACTATTCGTCATAGAACCAATGTCGTTTTTTTAGCGTAGGTGGGGGTCAGTAAGAGCTACATGTTAGCGTCAGTGATGGATCACACTAACGCTAAACGATGATTAAGATGCGCCTTCTAGTCTAGTTGGCTTGGGAGAACTGCCCGGATCGCGGGAGGTGTGGGTTCGATTCCCACGAAGGTCATCTTTTTCATCGTTCTGTCACATAACATCAGTGACACTGCTTGTCTCTTTCGTTCTATACAAATGAGAGCTAACCCTACAAATTGATGTTAATATAGGTTGAACAATATTGCCGCCTGCAAACGATTCGAATACGAAAGAGTAAATCGATGTAACCGGATAGTCTGGTTGGCGGATTCTCTGCGAATTAGGGTTTTAACGACATTGATGATTTATCCAAGTGGAGAAAGTTCGGAATCCGCGTGGCGACGAAGATGAGAAACAGGTTATGATGTAAGGTTGGCGGACCTAGGTGTTGAATTTGGTATGCGGCGGGCATATGTGATTTAGGTCTTCTGTGCGTGGAAAAATAGCACGATGAAAGTGATTAATCGTGTATATGATTCATGTTTTCGATTAGGTCAAGAAGAAAAAAGCGGTTGTAGGGATATATGGAGAGAAAAAGAGGGTGGTACAGAGAATGGAAGAGAGAGAAAGAGAGATAGCAGCAGATAGAGAAGAAGCAAAAAGAGAGAGGGTGAGGGACGGCAGATTAGAGAGAGGATGGAAGACAGATAGAAAGATAAATAGAGGATGGGAGAGAGTGTAAAATAGTAAGAGATAGGGAGAGAGATATATAGATCGATAGAAAAAGAGAAAAGAGGCTAGAATGCTGCGAAGATTATTCTTTCATTTAACGCAAAATGAATTCGAAGAAGTATTATGTTTGCCTCTGTTGTGGTTGTCGTCTTACTCCAAGCGGTCAACGTCCTGTGACGAATAAATTTGTTCGACTTTTGTTGCAACGCGTATATTTCCATCATACCTACCGAATGATTGTCATATTTGCATTAAGTGTCGTTCGATGTGCAATAAATGGAAAGCTCTGCCGGAATTCCATGATGTCTTGACGACAATTGACAACAATGATCAAACGACCAATACAACTAGTGACGATAGTAACAGTGAAGATGTAAGTGATGATGAATGTATGGATGGTGAGAATGTTAGTGATCAGCCAGTGAATGCAACTTCGAGTAAAAACGAATTGATGGACGATGACTACGGCGGTGATCAAATACTGGGTGTATCATCAAGTGATAACCAATCGTTTGACGACGCAGCCCGTGACGATCATACAAAAGACGAAGAAAACAGTTCAGATGGAAACAGTGTAGCCGTAAGTTAAGTTCGATATCCTTTATGATTTTTTCGTCTTCCTTTCAGGATGATATGATGACTATGGATGAATATGGTATCATAATTCCAATTGAAGTTGCAATTTCTTCAAAAAGGTAGATATGCAAAACACAGCATATTGTACCCTCTCTTTTTTGCAGTCAATGTTGCGTTTGCAAGGAATAAATTGTTCCTCCGGCGGTGACTATTCGTGAAGAGGATCGTAATGAAATGTTTATTCGACGCCACATCGAAATACCTTCAGAATCCCGATGCTGCGAGATACATACTGTCGATAAACGTCTGTTGCGTGACGCCTTCTTGTCTCTAGTACCACACAAAGTAGAAAATTGATCTTTCTCTCAGCAAAATCTTATAAACGTGCTTCAATCGTATCGTACACGAATCAACAGTAGGAAGCACCTTGACTTCGACGATTGTCTGCGCATGACGGATGCTAATTACACGAAACTGACTGGTTTCACTCGTGCTCAACATACTCGTATTTTGTCATATATACCTCCAACTGCTTTGAAGAATTCTGTGACGAGATCGGTTCGATCTGCTTTGGCGTGTCTTTTAATGAAATTAAAACTGGGATTAAGTAATTCGGTTTTAGCTTCAATGGTCGGCATTAGCGACAAACGCCAAATGAGCCATATTATCTCTAGTGCTCGAGTTGCACTTGCTCAACACTTCGTCCCGCATCATTTGGGTTTAGATCACCTGACACGACAGGATATAATCGACAAATACACGTCACCGATAGCTACTCGTTTACTGACGGAGGGCCGAAACCCATGTATACTTGTACTTGATGGCACATATCTTTATATACAGGTAAAAATATGCGAGAAACTTCTTTTTTTTAACTAACGGTTTTTTCGAAAAAGCAGAAAAGTCGAAATAATGCAGTCCAGCGTAAGACATACAATCTTCAGAAGAAACGGTCGTTAATTAAGCCCATGGTCATGGTAACAACAACTGGGTATATTGTCACAATTTTCGGACCGTTCTTCTCGAACTTTCATAATAACGACGCCTCTATTTTGAAACATGTCATGCTCAATAATTACGAGGATATCCTTACTTGGATAAAAGATGGTGATATAATGATCCTAGATAGAGGCTTTCAAGATTCACTTGGTGTACTCAAGGCTCTCGGCATCGATACTGCTATGACTTCGTTCCTGGGAAAAAAACCAGTCACAATTCGATGCGTACGATGCCAATCGATCTCGATTTATTACAAAACTACGCTGGGTAGTTGAAAGTGTCAACGCGCGGCTTAAAAGATTCCGATGGTTTAGTCAAACCATTCAAAATTCTTCACTGCCGTCCGTTCCAGACTTCCTTGCCATCGTGGCAGCACTAAACAACTGCTTCCACGTGCCCATGGTGACTCCTTCGCCACATGATGATGATGTAGTACGGCGTATGAATGGTCTTCTCTCACAAAGCAACGCCTTGTACGAACGGCTAATTCAAGATAACTTGATGCGATCTTGTTTTTGGCAAGCAACTGATATCGATGACTTAGCTGAACCATTTCCTGTCCTGTCTCTCGATTATATTAGATCTCTTACTCTAGGTAATTAATTTTTCTATCAGGAACTCATTACTTGCATACTTCCTTTCATTTCAGGTGTCTATCAGTTAAAGGGAGCACGTAGCTATGCTGAAGAACATAGCGGCACCACACAGCTCGCAGATTTCGATGTCAACTTTCCAATTGAAGAGTGCACCGAACATGGTAACGAAAACCTTGTTCGACTTCGATTTCATTCAGCACATAAAAACTCGTGCATCCACCAGACGTACGTTCAGTTTGATTCAACACAAGTCATCGCATGGTATTGCACGTGCACAGCAGGTTCTCGAACAGTCGGATGTTGTTCACACGTCGCTGCGGCGATTTGGTTTCTTGGCTACGAACGGCATCAAGTTGCCACAACTCGACAGCTATCCGCCACTAACACTAACAACATTCACTATTCAGAAGATATTTCTGATTTTGTATTATCATCCGATGATGAAGAAGATAACGATCTGTACTCATTAAATTGATACATATGTATATTGCTCTATGAACTTTTTCTTCGAAAATAAAAATCAAATAATCATTTCGACTTGTATTATAAAAAATACACATAATAGCGTTTCATCTTCGAGTTACAATCTTCTCTTCAACCCGTTAAAGTGCTCTTTTGTTTCAGTATTTTCTCTCTGTAGTTTGCTGGTGTGTGACTTCCTCCATATTCACTAGTACATTTCTGTTGAAGATGCCGTCATAGATGACCGAAATGTCCAACAAAAATAAATTTGTGAAAGCCGTTATCATCACCTTGTACATACTAATATTATTCTTCTTCATCTGATTCAAACTGACCGGGTGGTCGAGTGGGCATAGTGAGTGATAGCTGATATTCCCTAACGGGTCTCAGTGTCGAATCCCGGTCACGGATCATGATGAAAAAGGTGTCTTATCCAGCGTTGCTATATATCCTCATTTGGGGTACATTTTTCTTAGGTAATATTCGAACATGCACATCCACAATCGAATGGACAGGCGGAAAGGTACGTTGACACAGTGAAATCTGCATTGAAGAAAGCGATTAATGAAAGAGGAAAAGTATCGGAATGTCTTCAAAAGTTTCTATTTGATTATCGATCAACGCCTCATGCAACAACGAACATGACCCCAGCTGAACTATTTTTGAAACGAAAGCTGAGAACTATATTGGACCTCATACGTCCCGCAGCAAGTGAAACACATGAAAAGAACCGAAAACGATATAAAATCAATTTCGATAAGAAAACAAAGAAACGATTTTTCAAAGAAGGTGAAAATGTACTGGTAAGAGATTTACGTGTTTTTCAAACTGGAACCAAATGGACACCTGGTACACTTATATCGAAATCTAGATCACGTATTTGGAGTGTCAAGATTGGAAATAATATTTGGCGTCGACATGAAAATCAAATTCTAAATCGCCATTGGTCAAGTGATGATGATGTTACTGCTACAAGCTCAGAAGAAAAACAAACAGCGGAAGACAGCAAATTATCTAACACACAAAAGCAACAATGTGATCAACAAACACCAATACTTCGTCGATCCACGAGAAAACAGTACGAAGATTAATCCAAGACATTTAACAACGGAGGGATGTGATATAGTGACTTATGGAATTTTTCCACATAATCATCGGTTATACATAGTGGCAATTTCCCAGTACACTATGTTTTAGTTTTTCTACTTTCCAAACTAAATAGGAAAATTCCCTCTCTGTTATCTCTAGTATATATACATATATCCACATTCTTCATTGTTATTGTTGGGTTGCTAGCTTAAATAAACTAGATTCATTTTCACTACTTCTTCTAAATCGAAGTGACGTTAAGACGTGACAATTACTGAAGTCAATCGAAATGCATTAGATATGATCAACAATTAATGAAATGTTTACTGAGAATAGCCAATATTGATCGAATATCTTCGACTAATGAATATCCAAGTGATTAATAAAAGTTTAATCAGATTGACAACAGTTCTTATGAAGTGAATAGGGTCATTTCATCAAAATAGTTCTTTTGCTGTGTAGATTTTTGTTGTGAAGGCGTCGTTGACCATTCGTCAATCAATTGAGATTCTGCTATTACTACCATGATAATCGAATCTGGTCCGAAGAATTCGAGAAAGAAAAAGATTCTATTTGAAGTCATATCAACGCATCGTTATCATGTTTGTGACAAACAGTAGAATTTATGCTACACAATTCGTAATATTGACGTACCACAGAATGAATCATGCCACTTGAAGCTCTTATCAGCAAGATAAAGTTCTTTATGCGTCGAAATTGTATGCTGTACTCCAAAGCAGCGATGGCGATGCCAATAATCTACATATGAACTGCCTAATTATCGAGCACATCAAACTCATTTGTACACATCGGATATTCTAACGTTGAGTGCTGTGGAGTTAACAGTTCAGATTTGCGTACGCAATACTCTTTTCCCACGGTCAGAGAGAGAGAGAGAGAGAGAGAGAGAGAGAGAGAAGTATCAGTTTCATATTATTTCAGGATCTTTTTCTTTCTTTGTCTAATCCAAGAAGAAAATAAGCTTCACGATTTCAATCGAGCATATTAGGCAAAGAACGCCATTTATTAGTATTCGAAAGACATTTTCCTCTACTGCCTTTTTAATCAAGGTTGCCACACTGATAATAGTGATTGTTTATTCATTGTTCGTTTCTTCATGCGTAATGTGTATCAAAAGCTGGAAAAAACTTTATCATGAACAAGAAGCTCTACGTATCTCAAATAAAAAACTAATTGTTTACCATGGTACAGTTATGTCGAAAACAGAGCTCAACATGCTTCTCATTTCGAGTTTCATAAAGAAATTGATTTGACTCTATACATTTGTGTCAATTAGTCTCGATAAAGATTTAGCTCAGAAAAATTTTGATTAGGCCACAAACGACCTATCAAGTGAGCATTCTAGAAGAAATACATTCGATTGCACAGCCAATATGTCAACGACATCATTTGCTAAAATATGTAAACATAGTGAAATGTAAGACGAACATGAGATTCTTATGACAATCGAAACTATTCGAATTCGAATCGACCAAAGAAAATTAAGGATATAAGATCAACATTGCCTAGCTGTTTACATTCGAGATCTTTTTGAAAATCTAACTATACAATTACAGTAATGATATGAAATAGTTTCGCATAAAACTAGTTTGATTTTCTGTATCTTCGCCGAGATGCTTGTGCACAAATTAGTCAGGATATTAATATGAATGATATGATAATTTTTTTTGTTCTCTTAGAGTTATTCAAGTCGAAAGTATGAAACAAAGTTGTTGATAAAAGAAAGAGAATGATAAGTATGATATTGAGTTTGTGATGTGAGCATACAAGTTGCAATATAAATAGGAATAACAAAAGAGTTTGTTTCGAAAAGAAAAAGAAATTGAGTTTGTCGTTAACATGGTGCTATCTCCATTTGTTCTTATCGGTTGGTTTGGACATATAATAATATGTTATTATTTGATTCGTCCTATTTGTAATACTTTAGTTCGAACTATTTTAACAATTATTCCATGTATATTATTTACTTATATAACTTGTCAAAATTTTCCTCCGTATGATTCACCATCATTAATAATCATAGTTCTTTGTTGGATGATATCAATTCGTTTAATTCATTTGACAATATTTTCAATCGATAAATTATTAACATTTCGGTCTTTTTTATTCAAAATTCTTTGGATTTTATTGCCTATTTTACCTTTAAAATTAAAACGAAATGAATGGCCTATTAAATATTATTTGATATTAATTCCAGTTAAATTGTTAATAAATAATTGGAGTTATCATTGGTCTATTAGTTGTGAAACACGAGTTAGTTATACAAGAATTTTTCTATTTTATTTATCATTGATAACAATATCATATGTTCTTGATTCACTAACCATTCTCGTTCGTATTTTCACTCGAGATAAATATACAGTTGAATCATTTACTAATTTTCCACTATTCAGTTTATCATTGCGAGAATTTTGGGGTCAAAGATACAATCGATTTATTGGAACTGTATTAAAAGAATCGATATTTGAACCGATTCGTTCGAAATTTTCATCTTCGACAATTGGAGGTTTAACAACATTTATTATCAGTGGTCTTCTTCATGTTCATGTAGCTTTTGTTGCTTTTGATGATGTCTCATCTCTATTTCCAACATTTATATTTTTCTTTTTACATGGTATTGGTTGTTGTTTTGAAGCAAATATGAAGATTCAACTTCCGAAATACATTGGATGGATACTAACACATGTATTTCTTCTTCTCACAGCGCCATTCGTACTTGAACCATCCATAAAGAGAGGATCTCCATTATTAATACAAAATCCTCCACCGTTAGTTAATATCGAATGGATACCAAAATTACCCATACCCAACTTTTGCCCATAATGAACTACATTAATCTATTTTTGAATATGAAACAATAAAGATTTTCATTAATGAAGATCGATCCATCTTTCAAATAATAGTTCATTTTCTTAAATCATTTTCTTATGGAGTATTGTCGCAATTGATCGACAGTAATTTTTCTTATAATGGAAGGGTGTGTACTGATAAGTGAATTTGTTGATGCTGATATTATCAAAGGATCACTCTCACCGTGAAACCAACAAATTTTAAATATTAAGCTGCTTCTCTTGCACCGGGACAGAAATACCGAATTTGTAACTTATGCATTATGAACATGTAGAAACATGATAGTATATGAATTAATGACATCAGATTTTTTCAGAAAACGAGTTTTCATATTCTTCGTGAGCTTTATTGACAATATTTAAGCTTCTATAGATACAACAACCTCTGATGTTTAACAGTACCAAATTAAAATAAACGAATACTATGTTTGAAAAGTGTATATACGTATAATATTCAAAAATTAGGTGCATTAATGCATCACATGATAATATATTATCTATTCTTTTGCGATTTGTATTTGTCAGTACCAATCGTAAGTGTATTCGAAAAAAGTCTTTCTTATCGTGCACCATGACTAACGCTTAAACAAAGTGTTTTTTCAATTAAAAAAATGAATTTGCTGAACATTGCGAAACACCTTCTGCATTTAACACAAATGAAATGTGGCTTTGAAGACACAATACCAACTGCGGATGAAACTTTCGCTTCGCAACAATTATTCAAAATTTTAAAAGCATTCGATAATAGTTATTTTAATGAACTACATGCTTATCAAACTCTCGATTTTCATGATGAATATGATGAAATAACGGATGAAGAAGAAAGTACCGATGATGAACACTCAAGTGATGAAGAAGAGGGTATTGACGATTATGATGAAAATCAATCTTCGGAAATTCAAAACAATTTTACGTTAGAAGCGGGTGTGGGTGGGTGTGGATGGGTGAGGGTGTGGGGTGTGGGTGTCGGTGTGGGTATTGTCTCTTCCCACGCACACCCACACCCCGGATGTGGGTGGGTGGTTAGGGGAAGGGAAACACCGACACCCACCCACACCCTGTACGTTTTTACTTTTCATAATCAGAAGTAGCAATAATTCTTCCAAAAGCTGCCTGCAATCTCTAGTTTTGTAGAAAATCCAATAGCACATTTATAAAAGAAAAAAGCAAGTCTGAAAAACAAAAATTGAGAAAGATATTCGAAAAATACTGAGATCTTCGTTCTCTATGATCAGTGGCGTAGCCAAGGGGGAGGCAAATGGGCAATTGCCCATTTCATTTTAAGAGTTGCCCATTGTAATTTTTAAAAGTAAGGCTTTGCCCATTGAATTTTCTAAATTGTTTAGTTCTTT